ATAACCAACTGTTTTTGTAACTCATGTGTGTTTTTAATGTAAACTTGTGTGTGAATGAGAATTTAGTTTAGTACTCACATGCTGTGACAGCCGCTTTCTGTCCGTGTGCTTCGAATGTATGCTTTCAGAAAACCGTAAATCAGAAGTTTAAACTCATATGGTGTAAAACGCATAATTTCAGCGCGATAAACATGATAATCAGAACCAAAACAGATGTTTTTAGCAGGTCCGAGCTGTAATGGCGCAGCTCTATTCTGGAAAAGGGAGAAAAAGGCAAGAGACGGGCCCGAAAAACTGCGTGTTTCTGCTTCCACTCAAAATAAGCATTTTTAAAATTATATAATAAATGATCTGTGGAGTATTTTGAGCTGAAACTTCACAGACACATTCTAGGGACACCAGAGACTTATATTACATATTGTAAAAAGGGGCATAATATGTCTCCTTTAAAAGATGAAAATAAATACTTATATAATAAAAAAAAAGTATACACAATAATGTATATATTTACACTTTTTAATATAAAGTGAAATATTTTTGTGTTTTAATGCTTTCGATTTAATTCTGAGATGTGTGCAAACCTGGTGACCAACTACAAAAAAACGTCTTCCCTCTGTGCTTGTGGGTTTCTGCACCAAGTACTAAGTCATGTTTTGCTTGGGGATCAAATACTTATTTCACTCACTGAAATGCAAATACATTTCTAACCTTTATATAATGTGTTTTTTCTGGATTTTTTGGTTGGTATTCTGTTTTTATATGTTAAAATAAACCTACAATAAAAATTACTGACCCTTAATTTTTTTGTAAGTGGGCAAATTACAAAATCAGCAGGGGATCAAATAAATATTTTCCCCATTGTATGGCAGAAGGCTGAGAAAAGACACTGGATGGGGTTTTCCCTCTTGAAGTCTGGACCATATTTATATTTTGCTTAAAATAAGTATCTACTAAAATCAAACAAACAGTGTACATAATAGAGTGTTTTAATGACACGTCATCAATCCGGAAGTCGGCCATCTTGGCAGCAAACAATGCCGCTAAACTGAACAGAATTTTGCTTATTATTGTAGGTGAAAATTAGAGCTGGGTATCGAATCAGATGTTCCAATTCGATTCGATTTCGATTTTCAAGCTCTCCATTCGATTCGTTTTCGATTCGATATTCGATATCGATTCGATTTTTGATTTCAATTCTCGATTCCATTTGACTATATGAATGAACATAGATTTAATACAAATCCTATATTTATAAAAAATGAACAGTGAACATAAGATTACAAATGGTTAATTAATTATATATATATTTCTTTCTTTTTTTTCTTTTTAGAACCGAATATCTCTTGTGTCCTGTATTCTTTTTGAATGACTACTATTTCCTGACATGAGGCATCTTCTTACCTGATTTTGCTTGTTTTGTTTACAGGATGGCAGTAAAGTCTTTACAGCCTCCTGTGACAAAACTGCCAAGATGTGGGATCTGAACAGCAATCAGACCATTCAGATAGCACAAGTAAGCGGTTAATTTGTGATCCTAATATATTCTTATGCTCCTACTTTTAGTATATGCATTTCAGTTGTGTTGGTTTACAGTATGATTAACAGGTCCTACAATCTTTTCCTTTGACCAGCATGAAGGCCCAATCAGGACAATTCACTGGATTAAAGCACCAAACTACAGCTGTGTTATGACTGGCAGCTGGGACAAAACACTGAAGGTACTGGAACCCATCTTTACCACACTTAGGGCAGCACAGTGGAACTAAAATCAAAATCCTGATATGGCCTAGTATTAATGTTTATTAATGTTAAATATTTATTATGTCACAGTTCATTGTGCAGTATTTGATTAAAATAATTACAAAATATTTATTTAACCAAGTATTGCAGCCTTGAATAGGTTAACAACTGTTTCTCTGCTTCTCATTTTTGACAGTTTTGTGATACACGTTCCCCAAACCCCATGATGTCCCTGCAGATGCCAGAGAGGTGTTACTGTGCAGATGTGGTAAAGGAGTGTGATTTGAATTAAGCTGAATTTGTTGTAGTATCAGTTTGGGCAGCTCTTCTACGTCTCACTCTTGCAGTGTAGTTGATCGCTGGTTTTGATTGTGTGTGTGTGTGCACATTAGCAAAGTGAACATTTTCTTAGTGTAGTACAATAGGGCTGCACGATAAATCGCATGCAATTGTCATGCGCATCTCGTCAGTAAAGCCGGTTCTATGATTAGTAGTAAATCTCCATCACGTGCGTTCAGATGGAGCAGCATTTACCACACAGAGTCGTACATCACTGACAAGCTATGCAATAAAACCAGCTTGTCAGTGACCTACGGCTCTGTGTAGTAAATGCCGCTCCATCTGAACGCACGTGATGGAGATTTACTACTAATCATAGAACCGGCTTTACTGACGAGATGCGCATGACAATTGTAAGCATTCTGAAAGAAATTCTGAAAGCATTTTATGGATATCTTCTTGTTCTTTTATAGGTATATCCTATGGCCGTTGTAGCCACTGCAGAACGTGGTCTTATTGTTTACCAGTTGGAAAATCAGCCTTCAGAGTTTCGATGTATAGAGTCACCTCTGAAGCATCAGGTCAGTGTTGGTCAAATACTCAATTTTTGAAGTAATTAAATGGCAATTTAAAGACTTAAACAATAAATTGGCTTAGGGGGATAATAAATATTGGCTTTGAATTAGCATTTTATATAAAATATGGTATTATTAAAGGGTTAGTTCACCCAAAAATGAAAATTAGCCCACAAATTACTCACCCTCAAGTCATCCTAGGTGTATATGACTTTCTTCTTTCAGACGAATCCAGTCAGAGTTATATTAAAAATTGTCTTTGATCTTTCAAACTGTTTAATGCCACTCAGCGGGTGTTGCATGCATCAGTCCAAAAGAAGTTGAATAAAAAGCACCCATCCATAAAAAAAAGTGTCTCACACGGCTCCGGGGGGTGAACAAAGGCCTCCTGTAGCAAATCATTGCGTTTTTGTAAGAAAAATATCCATATTCAAAACGTAATAATCACTTTAATGTAGCTTGCGCCAACAGTGCTACACGGAAGCAGCTCCGAGCGGATGACTTATGAGGTCAGCTTTGCGCATATGCCGCTCAGAAGTGACGCGCACGGGAGAGATCAGAACAAAACACCGGTCACTTATTAGAAGTACAAAACGAGGATTTGTAAAGAAGAATGTCGGAGGATTTCGATATAAGCCAAGAGGAGACTGCTGTGTGAGACACTTTCTTTTTTTTTTATGGATGGGCGCGTTTTATTTAACTTATTTTGGACTGATGCATATCATCAATTAATATAACTCCAACTGGATTCGTCTGAAAGAAGAAAGTCGTATACACCTAGGATGACTTGAAGGTGAGTAATTTGTGGGCTAATTTTCATTTTTGGGTGAACTAACCCTTTAATGTAGCATACAAATTAGAATGATAATGTTTTTTTTATTTAATTGTGTACTGTCACAATGTTTGTGGTAACACTTTACAGTAAGTTTCAACAAGGTGTTAACATTAGTTAACTACATTAGTTAACGTAAACTAATATTGGAAAAACACTTCTAAAGCATTCATTAATCGTAGTTTCTCAATTCCAGCATCTACTAATACTAGCGATGTCCCGAGCCGATCTCAACTGATCGGTATCGGCTCCCTAAGCCCGATCCTTATTTAATGTAAGCCGTCATGCCGGTGACGTGCAGTAGGTGGCGGTGTAAGGGAAACAGGTCAATTTAGCTCAAAGGGAATCATTTAAGATTTTAAAGGGAAATTGGACAATAACTGTTTTACGGCTGATCACTGAGATGGCCAGCGATTAATTGAAC